TGTTTAGAACTTGATGAAGCGATTAGGGTTTTTCGCGAAATGGGGTTGTATGATTGTGAGCCGAATGGTTATAGTTATAGTTATATTGCTAAGGGTTTGTGTGAGAAAGGGAGGGTGGAACAGGGGTTTGGGTTTTATAAGGAAATGAGAGTTAAGGGTTTGGTTCCTAGTACTAGTACTTATGTGATTGTTGTTTGTAGTCTTGCTTTGGAGAGGAGATTTGAGGATGCCGTTGAGGTTATGTTTGATATGTTGAGTAATTCTAGGTCACCGGATCATCTTACTTATAAGACTGTTTTGGAAGGATTATGTCGAGAAGGGAGAGTTGATGACGCATTTGAATTGCTTGATGAATGTAAGAAGAGGGATGTTTGTATGAATGAGAAGATGTATAAGATTTTGTTCAATGATTTGCAGTTTGTGTGTAGGGATTAGAAGATTTTGTACTAATCGTCGTCACGCACAATGTTCTTTTTTCTCCGAGTAGAACTTGGATCAGAACTATCTATTACTTGGTAGTGGTAGAGGCTGATATGGAGACTTGTGATGAATCCTGCTAAACGTATGATCGGACACTTCTTTTTACTTGGAGATTGTTCTCAACTTTTGAAGTTATTTTCATTGCACAGCACAGGTTAGTATGTAGCAATTGGGCACCTGAATATATGTTGACGCCAATGCGGATGATGATATCATGAAGCTCTTTTTTGGTTGAAAGGGTTACTGATAACAGGATGTTATATAACCTCATCTCTGTGAGGCCACATGATTCCACAGTTGGAGCAAAAACAGGCATGTAATTTACACTTGCTGAAATTGCTTGTTGATAGTTTCCTAGACGAGCATCTTATGATATCGTATAACAAGCTAAAGCAACACAATAGTCATCTGATTTTTATTATTCCAGCTGAATTTAACTGGAATAAAGTTTAGCTGAAAGTTTTGTAGTCAGTATCATTTGTCTATCTGTATTTCTTAATGCAGAATTTTATGTTTAACGTTAATCTTCATGGAGTATGGGAGGAATTTCATTGTGTAATAATCGACTCGGCAGGAACTTTTGTATTCTGATTAAATGAAGATTTCCCAATATGTAGTGATCATATATTTTATTTGCTAATGGAGTTTTTTTTCTCTTTACAATGTTGATTTGTTGCTGTTAAGTTATATGTTGTGCTGTTCCAATAGTTTATCGGTTATATCGCGATTAAGTTGAAACATTTATATAGATGATAGCAGTTTCCACATGAGGATGGTGATGACAGAGCTCTTAAAGCTAATTAAAGTCCCTTGCTTTTCAAGTTTATATCATGGTAAGATGGTCTTCAAAAACCCTGTTCCAATACCAATGCCATTTTCAAATCTAGAAAAAAAAAATTCTCAAGATAACTTAATTTTCAGGTAGGCACGAGATTGTCTTCATGTCCAAACCTGGCAGCTCATGTTTAATAAGTTTATGTGTTAAACGGATTGTTGATTATGTAAAACAAAGGTAACCTTTGGCGCAAGTGCTTGGTAGTGTACAAAATTCGGTCCAGTCGGAAACTTCTGGAAAAAAAATGCTTACTTATTTTTATTTGTTGGTTTGTTTTGGGAACAACATGGTCTAATCTTTGTATCATCGTGTTCTTATTGAACCTGTTTGTCATCGATTTTATTGGTTTAAAGGCCAGCTTCAAGTTTAAAAATTGGTCTGATCTAATGTTGAGCGCACAAAATCTGACTTAACTTGTCATTTGCTCACCTAGATGCTAATCATTTGAAATAACTGAGATCTATTTAGTCAGAAACCAAATAGTTAAAATGAAATTGATATCATGAAAACATTTACACTAATCTTAAAATATTATTTGAAAGTTTTGTTGTTATTTCAATATCAACATTATCATGAAAACATTTACACTAATCTTAAAATAATATTTGAAAGTTTTTGTTGTTATTTCAATTTCAACACATGTTTTGTAGGAATTTTCCTACTGCGCATTTCATTTGTGAAAATGTGTTGTATAGATTTTGGAATATCAATGAAATTATGGAAATGAGTTAAAGAAAAGACCATCTTTGCTAGAATAGTATGTATTTAGAATAATTTCATTAATATTTAGTACTGACATCATCATAAGTGTTTATTGACATAATTTACATATTTATTTCATCAAATATAAAAAAGACGACCTATGATACAAGATATGAGAAGTGCCAAAACAATAAAAACAAAGATCAGAGTACAATATTCATCATTGTATCAGATACATAATACACAGCAGAAAACATAATTTAAGTTTCTCTTGAAACATCCAAGTATAGTTCCACTTATAAATTAAACCTGCAAACAATACCTGAAAAACAACAAGAATAGTGGGGTGAGATAATAATCTCAGTAAATTCCCCTATCTTATGGGTTCACTCGGTTCTACAAAGTTATAGCCAATTTCTATCTCAAGTCAAAAAGAGAAAGGGATTAGACTTGAGTTCACACAATTCACGATGTATAAAAACATGTCTCTTGAGTCCACCAACTCAAACAATCACTAATCGAAAACTACATCAAGGCATCTTTCCTCAGTCAACCCCACGTCTAAAGTTATCGTCACGGGTCACAAATCCTTGTATTATAAATATTTTTTTTCCGGCCAACCCACACAAGAGTTATTGACACAGGTCACAAATATCTAACTCATAAGTAACTTTTCCCAGTCAACCCACACTAGAGTTCTCGACAAGGGTCACAAATAACTATCTAATAAGTAACTTTTCGCGGCCAACTCACACAAGAGTTCTCGACACGGGTCACGGATACTTATTAGTGAAAATAGTGTGCACATTTCGAAGGAGCTCTCTATATAAGCCTCCACTCTCAGAACGACACATCTCAAGAGAATTGTTTCCGACTACGTGATAATGCATAACACAATGTCGAATGAATTCAGACTCTAAGAGACATATAACCAACTTTATGAATCGCCACTTCTCATGGGCCTTCCCCAATCACAAGTCTCTTTACCTGTAAGCTTCATTTGCTTATGTAATCACTAAGGATAATGTAATTGTATTCGACAATCACAAGGTATCACATTCGCCTTAACTATAAACAACACAAATCATACATGTTCCATACAAAGCTCTTCTCACAACTAGACAACCACTTGCCAATGATACACACATAGACATTCTTGCACAAGCATTGTCATCTATGTTATTCATCATGACTTAATCATTTTACTAATTCATTTCATTAGTTAATATCAAGAGTTTCATCACCATTCTTATACTCTTTTAAACATGTTATCACACAATCATATTCAAAAATAGCATGCATAAACACATACGGTAACATAGTATAATGCATTAAGCATGAACATCTCACACAAAGCATAAAATCATTATTATTCCTCTACCGACATTCTCGGTTAATTTGTGATCACATAATAGTTAGGCCTTTTAGAGCCAAACCCCTCACAAAAGATCAACCAATTGCATAGTGCTCAACACAACACTAGGTGTTCATCTTCACCTATTCACATAATATTCCACATTCTTAAATTCAAAGTCATCCTATCAAACTAATGCATATAGCCACATTCCGACTGTGCCTCAATCCGAATTACGGTTCAAAAGTTATGAAGGAAACAAAACGAGAAAAAACAAGATTCTGTCATGGTTGCACAACGGCCCCAAAGCAATGCTAGTTCGCATTTGCTTCGCATAAGGAACTCAAGGCGAGGCAAGAAAAGTAATGACAATGACAAAAGCCCTCAGTGCTCGCTGTGCGAGCTCTAGACGAGTGTTCGCTTTTAGTTCGCTTTCACCTTGCAGTGTGAGTATGACAGACTGTCACGTTCGCCTGCAGTTCACAATGTGAACCCTGCGATTTCTACAATCTGTCAAACGAACAGTCTCAAGGTATTTTCAAACCTCCCTCTTACCCAAACTCAATCCATCATTAATGTTAACATATTCACACATGAAACAACATGAATCGCATATTTTTCCCATTTCTCATTTCTCACATCAAAGTAGAACTAACCTCTAGAAGCAATAATGGTGTATAGTAGAATTTCTGCACTTCAAAGTATCCAAGCATGGTTATCTGGTACAATATCAAAGCTGCTACGGTTGTTTATGTGCGGCCACATTCTTTCGTAACTTTCATAAGCTGGTACATATACTTCATCAATCTTCATCAAACCCCACTCTTCCACTTTTGAATTTTCTTCTCCTTTTCTTTTCTCCTTTCTCTCCTCTTTCTCTTTTCTTCTTTTTTTTTTTTTACCAACTTTTCTTTCTATTCTTTTTCTTTTCTTTTTATTCTTTTTCACCATATATAATAGTAGTTAATGACATAAATTTTTCTTTAATATTTTTCATTTAACACCAATTAACTAAATATTAGAATTATTAAAATATCCTCTCTTATACTTATTAATATTAATCGGTTTTTCTTTTATTAATAATTGATCTCTTCAGAATTCAATAGTTACTCTATTGATCTCAACTGCTAACACTTAGAGCACTTAAGAGCATAGGGTATTATATTCTTGAAGTGCTCTTCACTTTCACAAATGAACATTTTCTTCTATCTTTTGACTTAGACCTTGATTTGGTTTATTCTTGAAATCCTTCTTCTCTAACCTTCCCCTAACAGTCAACACCATATGCTATTTGATGATCATCACTCCCTTCTGATTATCTTTTTAGTTCTTTTAAAAAAACAAGGTATTTTGTACCTCCTCTAATGACAATGAGAGTACCAGAGCAACAAAGAACACTGGATCTTCATCATCTATGTAGATCCCAATGTTTCCAAGATCAAGAAACATTGAATTATAAACATCAAAGCACTTCACAACTATTACAAGTGGAACAAAGAGTGTATAATAATAGTATTTTCAAACCAACAAATCTCAACTTACATAATCACATTCACAAACAGTCCCTGATTCCTAAAACTTGTTATCAACATTATACTACACATCAAGACTGCTACAACTAAAACCACATCAAACAAATGATGTTGATCTTGAAACCTGAGACCGTGCATCTTCGAAATCTTCAAACTGATCATCCTCGATTTTCTCAGAACTCAAGCTTGGAGGAATGAAAGCCCTGAACATCAATTCCATGTTTGGAACTCCTTTAAGCGCTGAAGCTGCTGCAACCTCAAGTGATTGATTTTGAAACGATGGATAAAATCTCTTTGCGCAGACAAAGCCGAATAATATCGACATTATTGGAAGAGGAAGCAATAATGGTGCATAGTAGAACTTCTGCACCGAAAAGTATCCAAGCATGGTTATCTGGTACAATATCAAAGCTGCTATTATACGGTTATTTATGTGCGGCCACATTCTTCCATAACTTTCATATGCTGGTACATATACTTTGAGAGCCTACAAAATAGTACATTAAAGATTAAAATGACAATCTTTAAGGAAAAAACAAGGTTTCATAAGACATAATTTAAGGTACTTTACCTGATTTCGCAATACGAGCCATCCGAGGCCAAAATAGAGAGCACCAAATGGGATGATAAGAGGAGCAATAACAGAATAACAGAAAACAATTGTGACAATCAGCATGTCACTGGGAATTCTTGTTGCATAAGAAAGATCTCCAGGAGCCCAAGCTTGTTTCAACTCAGCTTCAGTCTTGCATAGAAATTTTTTCTTCAAATGGTAGATAATAAGAGGAATTAACCGGGACAGCTCAAGGCCGTAGCCGATAAAAAATCTAACAAAAAAAGAGCAAGAAAAATCAGTTGTGTCAATATTTTTTTCAATGATCAAATATTTTCTTGTTCATGCGTCTAGTAGAAAAGCGGTTAAGAAGCTTTAACATAAACGTCGATGACAACTATAAACAAAACCTAATTGGGGTTAGGATGATATCTTACTTCAGTGCGACGTAGGTCAAGAAAAAAGTAGCATTGCCTGGAAGACTCGCCGCTAGCAAGCGCACAATATCTTTCGGTTTATCCTGAACTTGCTTGAATGTTTCGAACAAGGTTCCACCTAAAGTAACTCCAATGAAAACGTTCAACACCGTAAAATAAAAATATTTTCCAGAAGCAGCCCTGACAACATGGCTTTCGGTTGGAATGCCCTCTAATCTAGACAGAAACATAAGCAACTTCGGTAACATAGCCAAGAAAACTATCAGTGCAATTTGAGGGAGATAAGCTTCGAGCACTGTCCTCAAAGCGGGGATTTTCACAACTGGTTTTAGGAACGGGAGAAGTTTCACCAAATTCTTCAAAGTCGTAAATGCAGATACAAACGTGATGGGAATCATGTAAAAGAATATGGCGAGTGCAACAATGAAATACACCAAGTACTGCCTCATTTCTCTTTGAAAATACTTGATTTTCAAATTAGGCCATAGTAGTTGACAGGGTTCAGGAGCATCGAAAACCGACCATCTATCAATCGTTTGCGCATGTAAACTCTGAGACGCAGATGCTGCAACCACCCTGTTTGAGAAAAAAATTATAGCAGCATTTTGTTGCTTTTCTTTGAGAGTCACCTTTTGCTCAGTTTCTAATTTCGCAACCAATTCATTAATCTTTTCATTGCAATACTCTATGCTGTCCACTTTTTTACCTAGAATTCCAAGGCAGCCAGTCTTGTTGGTCGGTCTTGTACCTTCTGGTTTAGCAGTTGTTTTTGAGTCTGCGTATACTGCTTCGGCACGAGCAAGCTTCTTCTTATACCCTTCCAGCTCCTCCCAAATCTTGTTCACCTCTTTATTGTCTGTTATAATCATAGACCTGTAAAATGCTTCCGGATATATGCTTTTAAAATAAGAGTCAACCTGTTCCTTCCTAGTCTGACCCTCAGGAACAGGAGGAATGTCTCTCACGACAATCGCAAACTGCTCGGGCTTTACATCAGGAGACTTGAAAGCTTCGGAACGCAGAAACGAAACATGTCTATAAGCCTTCCATAAGAAGAATAACGAAACAAGTGAAATCCAATAGCAGGCGATAAAATACGCCCACAGCCTCGCACTGCTTGCCTACGAATACGAGAATAAGTTCAATCATAAGGAAAAATTACCACAATAGTACTATATTCTATGAAAATGGTACGAATTACTGATCTTACCGTGATGTTTCCCATCGATAACTCGTCAAGTTCATTGAAAGTCCCTTTGCTAACTGATTGTTTCTTTCCACCACCATCGGTAATAGCAACAGGTAGAAGAACCGGTAACAGAATAATTCCGGCTAATATTAGGATAATGAATACTGAAAAAAAAAAAACATGAAAAGTAATAGTTAAAAACTGAATACTCAATTTGCATCTCATATGATAAGAGTTGAATCAAATCAAGTGATTTTGCATCCATAATTGGTTCTAAATTGAAGTTAGAATTTGGAGCTTTTGCTTTAAAAAATGACTTATATCAGCAAATTAAGAGTTGATTTTGAATCAACCTTTACATGAATCTATTCATCCATAAATGGTTTTTCATTCAACTCACTTTCAGTCATAATCAATTATATAAAAACAAATTCATTCAAAATCAATTACTTTATCCTAGAACCAAACACATGGAAACAACAACCAGAACAAGGTAATCAAAGACATGAACACAGAGAGAAAAGGATCAAGAACAAACCAGTGCTGAGAAAGACAAAGTAAACAGCAGCATCAACACCAGAGATATCAATAACATCCTGTTCAGAAGAAGAATAAGCTTCTATAATCCAAGAGAAAGGGTTTCTTGACTTATATCCACTTTCAAATGGATCCAAACCCCTAATGATCCTATTAGGATAGTACACCACATTGTTTCCAGGTTTACTTCTTAAAAAAGTAAACAAAATCATCAAAACGAAAAACACCAAAAAGGAAGTACCAAGAGATGTTACGAACGAAGAGAAATCCATCTGAGTTGATTTTCTCTAAACAATTGAAAAGGTTACCACTTTCAACTACCTATAGTGCATTGATTAAAAGGGTAACGTTGAAATTGGAATTAACTAATAGGAACAGTTAGATATAGGAGAGATATGAAAAGGTTAGATTTTGATTGTGTGTGTGTGAAGTAAATGGGAAAGAGTGATGACCCAAGATGAGAAATGGAAAGATGTATGGATGGTGCGGATTAAATAAGGTAAAGCGATCGTTGTCGTATGTGGGGTATGTTTGTTTCTTGGATTTGTTATACTCAATTAATGCAAGTTTGGGTTTTTTTGTTGAGAATGGAGTTATCGTTTTAAGAATGTGAATGTGATGTGATGCGTGGGAGGAACGGGTGGGGAGAGTGTTTGTGATGAGAAGGGGTTGATGGAAAACGGTGATGCAGAAGAGAGAGAAACTGAGGAGAGAGAGAGAAAGTGAAAAAGACAACTTTCTCCATGTTATGAGAAACATAGCACATGACATGACATAGTATATGTCATGTTATTTATTTTTGTAATACCCTTATTACCCTTCTATTTATTTGGATCATATATTTTATAACAAATTAATATATTATACTCAGTGCACTATTCTTTTCTCATACTACACAAAAGATATATTTTGTATCATGGATTGGAGATTTGCATCACTCAATTTTTTATTATCTTAACCCTTTCTATATTTGCAAAGATATAGTAAAGTTTTGTTGGATATTAATTGAAGGTTTAATTATAACTAAAGTTTATCAACCATATCCATTTGATCAATGAAAGTTACCACTTAAAAATAGCAAGTTTTGTCTTTTAGACTTTTCGATATAAAGAAATGGGGTTAATTTTAACGGTTACATATTTAATATTTTGTCTTTTAGTTTCTTTTGGTAATATTAGAAAGTTGTGTTGTTTTGGTTTAATAGTAACGTGTTATGCTTGTATATATTTTATTCTATGCTTTGGAGAAAGAGGAAAATATCCTACAAAGCATCATGCTCCAGCTCACGAAGTTGACACAAAGTTGGATATATTGATGATCATTTGTATCTATACTATCTACTATATGTATAACTTGTATCACAAACTCTCACTCAAGTTGCATGGAGTCAAAACTTTTTTATATATAAAAATCACCACGGTGCAAATATTTAATTGTGTAATAGTAGATACATGATAACAATTAGTTTTAGAGTAGAAGAAAGGAGAAGTTCAATCTCATGTTGATATAAAAATCATTAGCCGGGACTAATCAAGTTCTTAAATGGATCTATGTTTTTGTTTTCTATAAATTTACTAAATTTTATTTTTGGTTTTTATAAAAAAAATAGCTAATTATACACGTAGTTTTAATCTCTATTATTAAACTAATGTGTATTTTTAAATGATTATTTTGCAGATATATTTAAAATGTTATAAAAAGTTCCTAAAAAAAAGACCAAAGTTTATTCAAAAGTTTTGGAGTAATTAAATTATTCAAAAATCTGAAAATAAAAGTTTAAAATTTAAAAATTTAAGGGTAATTAAATAGTTTTTAAAATTTTATAAAATAGTAAGGACTAAAACTGCATGCATAAAATTTTTGTAGGGACCAAAATATATCATTTTTTTTATAGAAACTAAAAATGAAATGTGATATATTTATAGAGACTAAAAACATATTTAACCCTACTTTTAATATATTTGTAAAAATCAAGACAATCGAATTAGGATTATACGATAAATTAGAAAGGTGTTCTTTTGGTTGATTAAAGGTTATGTAAGAGCATATTTGAAAGTTTGAAAATAATTCTTGTCAAGTTTACAGGAGTTTGAGAATGTCAACACTCGTTAAGATTTGACAATTGGAGATTTATTCATGATCCATACTTATAATACCGTTAACTTAAGAAAATCATAAACAAAAGAAATTTGTATTTTGAGAGAGTTGCGCACATATGGATAAAAAAGAAATAGAAATATCGTGAAATGTGAGAATTAAGCCAAACATGGAGCATTGGGTACTCCATTAGCGGGAAAACACATATATTATCTGCATAAATAATCGAGCAATTTTATAGGTCACGTCGTTTCGGTCAATAGAACTAATGTTTGTATATAATGTTGAAGCAACGTACTATTTTATGTATAGTTATTCAATAATTTATAATGTTGGAGCAACATACTATTTTATGCATTTTTATTTCAGTAGTTCAAGCACTATACTTAACATTCTTTAGGGGTAGTTAAGAAACTCGTAACTAAGGGACAAATTCATTTCTCAATATTATACCTAGAAGAAAAAAGAATCACAACTTAGAGTTATAAGCTGATACATTGGCTAACTTTCAAATTCAACAACAAATTTAGCACCCCTAGTGAAATACTACAGCTATAACCCTTGAAAATTCAGTTTGTCAGATCAAGACTACAGTTGTATATGCGTTAGAGAAAGTTTTTTTAACAACATGAATCAATCATCTTCATCAATATCAAAGAGGTCATACCAACAAAGATTTAAAACATTCCATAAATGTTAGGAATCAAGTCCTCCTGATGCCTTTAAAGACACACATGTTAATCCTTCTGAAACACTGGTGGTGGTGAAAACATATTTTATTAGACAATAAAAATACATAAGGATGGATGACATTATGCATAAATTTTCTCAACAACTCATAAACACTATAAAAAATGTAGTTCACAATGAGGTTCGACAAGTTAGTGAGTTGGATACTAAACAAGAAAATTCTTGGAATAATTCATCCATTATTGTAATTCAAAAAGTTCAAAGAAACCAAACTCAAGTAGACATTGTTACTTAAAGCCAGTTGATCGCTGCAACGATAGAACCTTCACAGGTTTATATGGTTCATATATAGCAAGATACCTTTTATTTCTTTAAATTTACAGCCTATTAATTTTTTAAGACTAACCTTAGGGGTAGTAATTTGTGAATGATACGTTTAGTCATGCTAATCTTCAAAGGTACATATTATAAGAATGTACTAAGCTCACCATGAGGTAAAATCTTTTATGTTTAGCAACGTGAAGTTAATATAAAGTAGTCTTTTGTGTTTAATGATGTGCTGTTAGTGTTTTGTTTTGTTGTGTGTTAAACTATTAAAGATATACTTCTTTGACTAGTCAACTTAGGAAAAGATACAACATGTTACTGTGAGAGATCCATCAACAAGTGGATTTCATGATAAAAGTGATTGAAAATAGTATGATAGAGATATTTCCCATATTATCTACTTTAGAGATAAAGAACTAAAATTATAGAGGATATTTAGAATAAAATCATACATGCATTGAAGTTACAAGTGAGGCTTTGAGATTTGTCCCCTTGCTTTAATGTATATGTTTATGATGATGTACAACTACACCATAAGCTCATTTCCTGATCTCTCCTAGCACGACATAACAAATCATGCACACACAACTAACAAGTTATATTAGTGGATTATTATCCAACGCACTATCTATTATTGAACTCACTTGCTTTCTTAAACTGTTATTGACATTGTTTGCTACCAAAATGAACTTGTGACAACCATAAACTATTTTTAATCTGGCTCGTGCTTATTTTTAAAAGATAATCTTTACAAAATCAACCTAAGTTATTTTCCAGTCCCCGTGGGTTCGACATCCTTACTATTCTATCACTTGCTACTTAAAACGTACACGTATACTTGCAAATAACGTCACACGTTTTCAACCAACAAGTTTTTGGTGCCATTGTCGAGGAGTGTGTCAAAGAAAACATTTTGATTTTGCATTAAACATTATTTCTTATTAAACGAGCATTTGTGCTTTTGGTGTTTTTTGTACTCTGGTGACACGATAGGTGCCTAGCAGTTGCATGTGCAGGTTGTTATATCAAGTATACAAAGAAGATCTTAAACTTGAGAGAACATTCAGATTGCTTAGGAGATTTCAAGCTACTATACACTTAACAGGAAACCCTAATCATTTTCTTATTTTTTGACATAGAAGAGGAACCAGATCAAGACAGCAGAGTCATGGTGGATAATGACATCATTGACATTGCCAATGATTGAGTAAGAAACATTAGGGATTATGCAGTGTTTGATCCTAAGAATCATCATGCACATATTGTGGCTCAGTTTAAGTTTAAACTAATGATTTTTCAAATGTTGCAAGCCATTGGTCAATACTCAGGTGTTGCAGATGAATATCTGCACTTGCATTTGAGGCAATTTCTGGAGGTTGCTAGTAACTTCAAGATTCCTGGCATTACAGATGACGCCTTCAGGTTGATACTTTTTCCATACTCTCTAAGGGATAGAGTCAAGAGCTGGCTAAATTCTTTAGAGCCTAATTACATAGCCACCTATGGAATTCCTTAGTTGAAAATTTTTTAGCTAAGTATTTTCCTCCTGTCAAGAATGATAAGATGAGAAACTAGATTACTTCATTTAGACAAGGAGATAATAAATCCTTATTTGATGTGTGAGAAAGATTTAAAATAGTTGCTTAAATAATGTCCTTGCCATGGGATACCAAATTGTATACAACTAGAAACATTTTACAATGGATTGGTTCCCTCATCCAAAAACATGCTTGATGCATTTAGTGGTGGAGCTTTATTGTCTAAATTTTATGAAGATGGTTACAAAATGATTAAAAGTATTATAACCAATACCTTCCAATGGTCGATTATAAGAGATGTTGTTGTATCTACTCAAAAGAATCCAAATGGTGTTCATGGAGTCACTAAGACCATAACCCTTGCTACTAAAGTGGCTAAGAGTATTGAGACATGCAAGGTTATCAAGTTAAGAAGTGGAAAAGAATGTGAAGGATTAATATCAACAAGAGAAGAATCACCAAAATATAATCTCACTACCCCTGACATTTCAGAGGGGAAGTATCTAAATCTACTGAAGCAACACGTATGGTGGAGCCTACTGAAGACCCTATAACATAATAGAAAGGCAATCTGAAAGCTCCTAGTATGACATCCAACCCAGACAAGTAGCCAATTGACA